CAACCCAAGAGTCATATTCACGACTGCACTTAACTGTCAGGGGTCCTTTACCTTTTTAGTAACCTCTAGGTTAGATTACTGCAACACATTGTACAAGGGTCTGCCTCTGAAGAGGTTCAGAAACTTCAGGAGGTGCAGAATTCAGCAGCAAGGTTGCTCACCAAGGCAAGGCAGTTTGAGCATATCACACCAATCCTGGCTCGACTGCGCTGGCTACAATTAGTTTCCAGGCCCAGTTCAAAATGTTGGTTTTTGATGTATTGTCCCCAAATGGCTCAGGACCACAATATCTCAAGGACTGCCTCTCTGCATATGTATAGACCTGGACCCTGCAATCATCACCTGAGTCCCTTCTTCACGTGCTTCCTCCATAGAGGTCCAGAGGACAGCAACACAAGAGCAGCCCTTTTCTGCAGTGGCTCCCCATGTGTGGAATGCTCCCAGGGATTACATATAGTTAGGCATCAGGCGAAAACATTCCTCTTCACCCAGGCCTTGGGCAGATTAAATAATCTATGGCCTTTTAAACTTGGGCGGGGGAGTGGTTTATTGTTTTGTTATTATGTTACATATTTTTGTGTTTTTATACTGTAAACTGCCCTGTGGTCCTCAGATGAAGGGCAGTACAGAAACCCTACTTTTAGACAAACTTCCCCCGCCCCCCTGTCACGGATAAATGCAACAAATTTGATGAACAAAACTATTTCAGGCCTTTTCCACTCTGTAATGTGTTCCAACGGTGAGAAATAAATAGTTCACGGCATGAAAATCATACCAGGGCCTAATCAGTTTTCAACTAGAGGAAATCCAGTGTCTTCTTGAATACTTTGATTTCTAAGAAAACACTGCTGAAATGTAGAACAGCTCACTAGCTAATGATGATAAGACACTCTACGATGGAATGCTTAAAAGAAGTGGTGGCATTACATTACAGGTATGCTGATTTTTCATTTTAAAACTGAATGGTGTTTTCTCATACTAAAGAAAGTTTCAAGATCAAAACAAAAGAAACCCAAATTTCCTATTTACATAGCCCTTCCCTACAGGATGCTTCTAAAAGGAAATCTCTCTCCTACACCCTGCTTACAAGTCATTTCAGAAGAATAAATCAAATACTGTGTGCAGCAACCTCAGCTTTGCTTAGCAGCTTCATATCTCCAGACTGCATGAATGATGAACAAAACAAAACAAAATCTCATAGGGAAACCAGATATTAGAAGAGGGGACTAAGTTCACATCCTATACAGCCATGAGGCTCCCCAGATAAGTAGGGTAACCCTCCCCCGCAGGACTTTAATGATAATGAGATATTCCCAACACCCAAGCAACTTGGAAGATAGTAAGGTGATAAAAAAGTATGGACAAATAGCTAAACTATCCATTCTGAACAACTTTTTACCCTACTTACCAAACTTTATTCATAAGACAAGATGCACATAAGACAAGATGCTCAGAACACACTCCCCTCCGAACTGGAAACCTTCATCCGAAATCTAAACCCAAACAGGGGACTAGTTCCTGCTTCTTAATGGTAAGACAGTGACATTGTATTGAGAGTGGAGGCTGGCTTTAAATTAAGCCTTAACTATTTGTAAATACATATCAACAAGCTCTATCCTTATTCAACCTTAGTACTCTGTCTTCCACAGAACATCAAGTTTTCATTTCATTTTCATACTGCTTTCAAGCACCACAAACTACCTGTATGCAGAAAATATGAACATTACAGAAGGAGATATGGTACAGCCCTTTCCATAGTTTTCTGGGAGCAGAAAAGTTTTTAACGTGAATTAAATAAGACTGCATCATAGAATCAGAAGTGTAGTTATTTCTATTTTATTATTTATTGAATTTATATGCCGCCCTACACCCACAGGTCTCAGGACGGTTCACAGGATAAAATCAGAGTATAAAACCACAAGTACTCAATCAAAATAAACAACCCAATAAATCAACCCCCCCCCCAAAAAAACCACATTTTAAAGGGCCCAGGAATCTCAACTAGATCATACATGCCAGATGGCCACCCAACCTCTCCTTAGCTCAAGAAGCCCATCATCTCAAACACGCCTCAACAGCTCGTCTGAAATCTCAATCAAGGTCCACGCGTGCTACAGTAACAATGCAACGCTTGTGGGTAAAATCCATCCCGCTGCCATTCCGCCTGAGCGCGCCTTAGAGAAGAGGGAACGATCTCCACGCTTCCTGCACGTGCCAGAGAGAACTGTGCAGCTACCTTTCTGCGTGCAGGGACTGACCCCCCCCCTCCTCGCGCGCGCTTTTAACCTGAAGTGGTACACCCGAGAGAGCTACGTTGCCTCAGGACTGTACTCCCTCAAGCCCCGCTGCATGTGGAGAGAGTCGCTCTCCAGCATCGCCATCCCCGGGGCCTGCCGTGAGGATAGGGAGGGAGGCGAGAGGTGCCCCGCTGCTGCCCGCTCCCTCGTCGCCGGGCCGCCCCCTCCCCCGTCCGCTTCAGCTCCCTCACCTGCCGGGCGCGCTGGACCGCGTCGGCGAAGGCGTCCTTGCGGATCCCGCCAGGTCCGGGACCCGCCGCTCCGCCGGCCGGGCCGGCCCCGCCGGCGCCCCCTTGGTTGGGCGGCCCGGCTCCCCCACCGGCGCCCGGCGGCCCAGCTGAGGGCGGCGGCGGCCCGCCGGCGTTATAGTCCGACATGGCGGCGGAGACGGAGCGGGGCACCGAAGGCTCAACACGGGAAGCAGGCCGAGCACTCTGCCCGTCTCCCTCACCACACACTCACAGACACACGTCCGCGCTGCACGCTGGGAACGCGAGGCGGGACTACAACCCGTTGCCCTCCGACCTCTCCTCGGAGGACCAATCGTTTAGGGGCTCCGGGTGACTGGCATAGCAAACGGCCAGTGGGTACAAAAGGAAACAGGCGGCCTCAACGCCCGGCCAATTACAAGCTAAGAGGAGGCGGGCACTGCAGCTTGAGTGCCAGGGTGCTCCTCCAGTGGCGAGCGAGGGGAGGAGCGTGCTATGTGGTTTGCGACCTATTAGAGAATGGCAGGGGCGGGGGTGAGAAGCCGTCCTTGGACCAATCAGGGAGGCAAGGTCGCTAAACCTCAAGCCCCTCCATTGGAGAAACGGAGAGTACGTCATGTGGCAGAATGCGCTGGTTTCAGCCAAAGCGACGACCGGGTTCTGCCTCAGAGGTTGGGGGTTGAATCCCCTCACGGTTTGGAAGGGCGGGGCTAACGTGGGGTTACGTCATTTCTTAAGGGGCCCTTTAATAATAACAATAATCATAACAGAGGAAAAATTAATCGGCGTTCGACGCGTGCGTCGCCGCCGGCCCGCCAAAAACCACCAGGGCCAAAAATCCAGATTTCTCACGTAGGCGCTTGCACGGGGAGGCAGGGGGGAAACCCACTTCCGCTTCTTTCCCGCCCCCTTGGAGGCGATTGGTCGAAGAGCTGCAGTAAGGCGGAAATGCAGCATGATCGACGCGAGGCGGGACCAATGAGTCGGGACGCAGCTAGCTGGTCTCTTCGACCTACCCTCGGGGTTGCCATAACAATGACAGCAGCTATAGCCGGAAGGGGCGGGACACTGGCCAACGTCCCTCAGGCTGGAGGCGCCGGGCGGATTTGAGGGCTTCCGCGGAAGACGTTGTGCGCTGGCCGAAGACCTTGAAGTCCAGGAGCTGTTCCTGGACACCGTTGGAACGACCTGCGTAGTGGAGTGAAAGCTGGACCCCCTCCTTGGTTCCCTTCGACCTGCAGGTGAAGGAGGAGGGCCTTGTTCCCGCGGGGTTTTAATGAAAGGCCTGGTGCCGCGCTAGTCTTACCGGGGATATTTTCTCTCTCTCTCTCTCTCTCTCACACACACACACACACACACACACACACAAACACACACACCTTGCGAGTCTCTCCTGATATGATGTTTTGAGAAAGGAGGGGGCGCGGAAACTGCTCTTCGCTTCTTCCGTTCCTGCCTGACTCTGTGGGGAGTCTGTGCGTTTTTTATGTAGTGATTAGATGTCTGAGTGACAGCTGCAACACTCATGCAAGCCAGTAGTCTTAGTTTGCAGTAGCCTTTAGTAATAAAAGAAGTTATGCGTTCCAGCAAGCTTCCGTGTTGTTTATACTCTGCATGAGTCTGGTGCTCACAATGCACAGTTGTGAGTCCAGTGAACTTAGACCTGCTTTCCAGGATTGGAAGGTCTCTGGAAGTTCTCCAGTCGTCTAGCCCAGTTGGGGCAGAACCAGTTATTGAGCCTAGTCGCTGGCTCCGGCTCAAAGGCATACAGTGGTACCTCGGGTTACAGACGCTTCAGGTTACAGACTCCACTAACCCAGAAATAGTACCTCAGGTTAAGAACTTTGCTTCAAGATGAGAACAGAAATCGTGCTCTGGCAGCAGGAGGCCCCATTAGCTAAAGTGGTGCTTTAGGTTAAGAATAGTTTCAGGTTAAGAACGGACCTCCAGAACAATTAAGTACTTAACCCGAGGTACCACTGTATATGGGAGTTGCATCTAGCTCCAGTTGTATCCATTCCTTCTTCTCTTTCCTTTTTCGCTCTTTTGGGTATCCAGAAGGAGGAAGGGAGGAGTGACAGACTAAGTTTATGCCACGGTGAGGAACATTGTTCCCTGGCTTCCTGTATGTTTTGATCCTTCTGAGTACAACATAGAAAATCTAGGGTGGTTGGCAATAGCCATATTCCCATCCTAGAGAGAGAGCATCTACAGATGTGTGCATTTGTGCAGAGAATCTGTGGAAAATAGAGTTTACCACCTAGCACTGAAATGTCAGCTTATGTCTGGTATCCAGCATAGCTGCACCTCCGCAGTCTTCCCCCATTGGTGACCCAGATACTAGTCCTCTGTTGTTTCCCCCAAGGATTTGGGCAGAGAGCCGACACAGACAACATACCAAGCATTCTGGCCCTGTGCTCCATTTCCAAGGAGCACAACATGCCATTGTGGGGTTGGCATCTCGATAGAACATTTGACACCAAATTGTTCTCACGATCTGTTGACTTTGTGCCTTTAGGGTCTGCTCCCAACGATATGGAGCTGATGGCCTCCATGATGCAGAAGATTGCTTCCTTGGAACAGAGCATCAAGAGCCAAGCACGGGCAATATACCACAAGGTGAAAATGCCAGGCTTCAAAGGAACTGCGTTGGCGTGGCAACAGTTCAAACTGGTCGTAGTTGATCTCAGAATCATGCTAAGATTTTATTTATTCAAGTGTTTATAATTTAATTATTTTTTTATATATTGCATAAATCAGTCTGGGTGGGTGGGTGTCTCACAACATGGTATGGGGAAAAAATATGATAAAATTACAATCTGATAAAATTACAATCATTTACACTATATATAGGCTGCCTTATAACAGCGTGATCTGTGATTGGCTAAAACAGCACATTTTTAAAAAGCCATATGGGAATAAGAATGAAATGCCTCAAGTAAAAACACACCAGATAAGGACAAAACTATACATTAAAAAAAAAAGATCAGAAGAATAGAGAAAAACAATATTGAAAGAAACACAGCATAATTTTAAAAGCCTTGGAAAATGAAATGTCCTTGCCTACTGTAAAAAAAGAAAAGAAAATTAGCAGAGCAATCCAAACCCACAATCTTCTGCTTTTGTCCCTGCTGCACTGCTGAAAATGCAGGCAGGCACTGGCTGTTGCAGGCAGTATCCTTGCTGGCGGTCAAGAATCTTTGGATCCTAAGCTGATCCAGCTACCAGCAATGTTCCAAATTTAGACCCCTCTGGTACACCATCCTGGAACTGTAGCAGCAGAAAAAGGGGCAGGGGAAGAGGATGAAGCTGCCCTCCATCTCCCACCCAGGACAGTATAAGTGGAGGGGCTTCAGGTATGGCAGTAGCTCCAACTGTTCTGCTTACAGACTCCAAAGAGTACAGCTTACCTGAGGAGGACATTCCACAGCCGGAGAGCCACGATGGAGAAGGCTCATTCACTCCTAGCCACTACCAGTAAACTCACAGTGGGAGGAAGGATGGACGGATCAGTCTGTTTCTGATCATGTCTGTTGATTCATAGCAATATATGAATCCTAGAAAGTATAATTTGTTAAGGGCGCTGAGAGTTGTTATTCTCCTCACAGAGCTACAATTCCAAAGTTCCTGGGAAGAGGCATTGATAGTTAAACTACTAGGGGATCACTCTGCAACACAGAAGGGGGCACCCTGCAGATACTGTCATATCTGAAGGCCTGCTTCATAACATGAAGGAATCTTGCCTTTAATGTGGCAGCACCTACTCTTTGGAGTATCTAATGTATTTTTAGCGTCTGTTGAAGACTTTCCTCTTTGAGCAAGCTTCCAGAGTGGAATCTTATCCCAGTCAAACATCTGTATTGGTTTTGAATTTGGTTTCCTATGTATGCAATTGTTCTGCTTGTATTGATGCAATTATTTTGTATATGTTTTATTCTGTTGTGAAATGGCTTTGAGATGCTTCATAGGAAGCAGTTCATATATGACATGGAATTAATAGTGACTGGTAATAAGTTTTGCCTTTTATATTTGGATCTGCAGGATAAGAAGATCGAGGAGCTTGAGGAGCAGATAAAAGTCCTTAAGAAAGGGAAAGGTAACATTGTGGCACATGTCTCAATGCTGCTCCTTTTTCTCTTCAACAAGAGGCAGGTGCCAGGTTTGCTAGACTTGAGGGATGCGTAGCTGAAGGGCAGCCTCCAGGCCACAGCAGGGTGTGTATGAGCATGTGGAGAGAGCAGCTTTCGAGGCCTCACCATAATGCAGGTCATGTTTTAAGCTCTAAGGCACCAGTAAGACCAGAACCGGCCAGAATTGCCCATTGGAAGGGTGTTCGAAGGTGAAACACTAACCTTCGCTTCCATTCTGAGTCAGAACATTAATTTATAACAGAGACTTGGACTTTTGCTGCTCTTTGTGCAGTTTAATATTAATCAAAATGAGGAACCCCTACATATCTTTGGGTGTTGTTTTTTTCTCTCTGCAAGCTGAATCTTCTTGGATGAGCAGAGCAGAGGAACTGGAAGTGATATGCCTTAAGTTGCAGCATCAGGTCTGGGAAATGGAGGTAAGATTAATGGGAGAGAGAGATTATTATTATTTCTCTATGAATCTGAGCTTAATTTCTATTCATTCTATGGGCGGCTACTGGGTTGGACGTGAACAAGAGCCTTTGAACCATCCAACCTCTCACCATGGTTCCAGGCAGAAATGGGAGGGAGGGGAATCTCTCTTTTGCCTTTTTTTTTACTCCTTAACACAAGGAGACAATGAGAAGCGGGGAAAGTAAGATCTCTAAGTTCTGGTTGCCCTCAGGTCTTCCAAATCCCCAGGGTTTGAATATGAGTTGGGCTCTGAGGAATTTTCACATCATCCTTATTTAAAATTGATTTAATTGGATTGCAGCCTTAAATAAAAGTTCCTTTTGGGAAAGTAGCAATTTTATTTTTCCTTCAGCATTTTTCTATTCTCACCATTGGTTAGGCTATCATCCTTCCTGTCTAAATTGTCCCCATTTCCCCCTATGCAGCTGTTTCTGAATGACTATGGATTGATCTGGGTTGGAGAAGGGACAGACTCTTTGGGAGAAGTGGCGGCACAAAGTGATGAAAGGAGTGAGCTGTCAAAGCGTTACTGGAAACCAGGTTTGCCGGGACAAAAGACTGCCCTGTTTTAGATACCTTAAGACAACAGAGCATACTTTACTTCCATTTAGACTGTAAGCTCCTTGGCGTAGAGACCAGTCTTTTCATTTATAGAGATCAATAATATGCTATGTACATTGATGGCATTGTATACATCATAAATTATCCCCATTGTCATTCATTTAATAACCTTACAAATCAGCATTACCAAGATTCTCATAGCAAATAATGTAAACTTGTCAGGCACAAGTGGTTTTGGGGAAAAAGTTTTCAATTTATTAATTTTAATTAAACTGTTTTAGTCGTACCAAAGCCAGTTTCTGAAAGCTTTTGCCTTGAAAAGCAGGGTATAAATGGAGAAAAACTCCTAATAACTGTCTTGAACCTTGAGGTATCATGTACCCTGCTTTGCAACAACTCTATATCTAGAGCACAAAATCCATATTTGTCCCTATGGGTTGTACACAGTGTATGACTAAGTAACTTGTTACTTCAGCACAAGGATTTATGCTTGTGCAACAGAATTCCTCCCTCTCCTTTCTCTTTGTATTCCCCAAATTTGTAATAATAATAATAATAATAATAATAATAATAATAATAATAATAATAATAATAATAATAATAATAATAATTTGTTCTTGGGAGTTTTCCCAACCCTCCAGAGCAGATTTGGGGAGGGCACCGGGCATTTCCAGGAGGAGGAGAGGGTGGAAAGTTCATTTGAACAAGCCTAAGTCCTTGCACTAACAGAGCAAGTGCATTAGCTACCACCCTATGTAATCCAACACTAATTGTAGAAATAGTGTCCTATTGACAATATTCCTCCATTACTTTGTCACGGAAATAGCTTTTCTTGATGCTGGAAAAGATTAAATGCAGTTTAAAATGCAGTGTTGAGAGTTTCCCTTAGTCATTTCTCCTCCTTTTGTCATAGGTGAATCCATCGTTTCAGAAACCAATTTTGATTTAATTTTTGCAAACCTGAAAGATTTAAATGCTTTGGCTGGGGAAGGCATGTCCCAAATCGAGCACACGGCAGGGGGTGCTAGGCTGAAGCAGCTGGACTCAATCCCCCTCACCTTCTATCAAAATGGGATTGTCATGTTCAAAGGGCCTTTCCGGTCATATGAAGAACCTTCCACGCAGGTATGAATCAATACTTAAATAAATTTAATCACCGACTGGCTGGTTGCCTGGCAGGTGTACCCATAGTAATGGCTACATGATGACAAAGCAGACATTCTTGTGTGCGTTTCCTGATAGCACAAAATCCCCGCTTTCTGCCCAGAAGTAAGTTATAGCATTTATGACTCCTTCCATTTTTTTGTAGGAAGCCTGATAAGACGACGAGATTATATACAGTTATGCATAATTGGGGCGGTCAAGGTTCAGTGGAATTGCACTCGTTCACTTTGGACGGGTGCAATCTTCTCTGAAGGCTAGTGCTCAGAGCTTTGACTGGTTCTGCTAGTTTCTAGCAGAAGCTGGCTGTGCATAGTGCTGATTGGCTGACATCATGAAAGCACATCTCCCACTCTCTGCAGCAGTTTTTCTTGTCTAAAAATGATTGACTTGTAATAATAGTAATAATTTGGCACAAGCATAGACCAAATTGATGCATTTGCGAGGTTCTTGACCTTTTTAAAAAACGAAAGCCTGCCTGAGGCAGAGGTGAGGGGGAAACGAGAATAACCATAACTGGATTCAGACGCAATGCCTATGTAATGTGACGTACTTTGGGCTTTTAACATTTCAGTGACACCCTGTGCAATGCCAAAATTCGGCACCTCCTGCCTCTTGCCATCCATTATTTATCATTGTTGCAGCACCTCCTGTGGTGCCCTCTCGCTTGGCGCCCAATGTGGGCGAACTTGTTGTGCTCCCCTAAATTCGCCTCTGATGTGAGGTGGGGATGATGACAGCCAAGCTCTTTTTGCAGTAGAAAAAAATATATGCTGCCTTATGCTTGCACATACATCTGTATGCACCACAATTTTCAGGAGCTCAGGTGGATGGTGCAGTGGTAGGCTACTAAAGTTTGCTTTCTCTCAGACTCCAGCTTATTGGCTAAATGGGGAATCTGATCACCTAAATCCTAACAAACCAGAATCAGTGGCTTCTACAAAACCATAATCTGGGTAAACATGGGATAGGCCATCTCAGGCCCAAGGGCCAAATGCTGTCTTCTAGGCTTCCCTATCTGGCTGTCAGAACTCTCCCAGACCACACACTCTGTCCCTAGGCCACACTGCTCACTGGCCCTTCTTCACCCCTCCCCCCAAAGTGTTTTTGCTGTGCTGGAATGTGTCCATGAACTCCAATGCCTGGATGGAGAATAGAGAGGGCTTTGGGAGTGTGTGTTGAAACTGGTCTCCTGTACAAATGATGAAATTTACATTTCATGCTCCGCCCACTTTTGCCTCTGGCCCCACCCAGCACTGACACGTGGCCCTCAGAAGATTGCTCAGAAGGGAATGCGGCTGTCAAGCTGAAAAGGTTCTCCACCCCTGGAACTGACCAGTAAATCATGAAGAATTAGGGGCTGGGGCAGGAAGAGTATAGCAGGGAAGAGATAAAAGAGACGGAAGGTATTGAACCTTGCAGGGTAGGGACATGGTGAAGGAAGCAAATAAAGATTCAGAGCTGCAGCATAACCCAATTCCCTTTCCACTGCAGAGGGCAGAGGAAAGGACTGCCAGGACGAGTATTCATAGTGATCTTGAAATAAGAGAAACTATTTAGCATCTGTCCATGAAGAGACAAGAGATGAGAATTCAGTCTCTCCCAAGGGAATTGTGCTATTAGGCTGGAGTGGGCAGGAAGTATACTGTGGCCCATTGGCCCACTTCCAGTGGGTCGCTTAGTACCAGCTGGATGCTGAGATTCTTGCAAATAATGTTGGGCTAGATAGACTTTGGCTGGATCTTGAACAGTATCTTACGTTCTTAAGTGGGAGTGCGTAGTCAGGGTCACTGAACACAGATCTGGAGCATGCACTCTTGCTTTATAAATTTAAAATGTGCGATTGAACCATGAGGTTCATCTCATTTTTTAAAAAAGAAAAAGGTAGACTACAGAATCCGGGAGTCATCCTGCCCTGATCTAAGGCGCTCTTTCAGAAACACGATATGTGCCTCCTTGAAAGATGCTACCAAGGCTCTTCAGGCCCACGTTAGCAGCATTTCTATGTGCTGCTTGAATATATTCACAAATCACACAGAAAGATGGGTTGGGTGAGCAAAAGGGAAATGAGGGGGGTGAGTGCAGTACCCTCTCCTGCCTGTGGTCTGCCCTTGTCACAACCCCTTTCTCTGGGGTTTTTACTTGAAAATTGTATCCCCCATCCCTCTCTGTGTATGCGATTGGCACAGTTTCAACCTGAAGGAAGTGCCCCCATCATGCTTACTGTGGCCATCATTCTAGAAATGAGTTACAAGTTAAGGGGGAAGTAACGGAAAGCAAGAATGAGCACAGGGCTGTTCTGCTTCTGACTTTGAAACCATTCCAGCTTCCGTCCTCAAGCACAAAGTCCCACCTGCTGCCTCTGCAACTGTTTGAAAGTTGTCCTATATAACTCACACATGGGACCTTTCTGTTTGCGGCCATTGCAGCTCCCTACGCATAATGAGCAAGCTGCTGGACTCTTCACCACATGTAAATCCTTGAATATTGAACGTCCTTCTTCAGCCCCCGCAGAGATGGTTTGCAGCAGCAAGCAGGTTGCCAGACTTTCCTCCCAGTGAATGAGTCAACTATTGGCTGAACATTTTTAAAAAGCAGTACTGTGTATTTTTGAACACTCAGTTTTGTAACTGCCCAGTCTCTACAATTTTTTACCAGGAGAAACCTGTGGTGAAAAGGGTGCAGGTTCTTTTCTAGCAGATGCCTGAAAAAAGCTTGATTTTCCTTTTAAAAAAAAAAGTTGATAGTTCTTATGGCTGAAGAGAAAGTTTAAGCTTAAGTCTCAGTCCCTGTGAAGGGAAGACATGGAGTCTAGTGACTCACACCCTCTTTTGGGAGAATGTACTTATTTTTAAGAGACTTCAGGCTGTACTCCAGTTTACACAACTTACAGACTTGCACTGTGTGGGACTGAGTCATAGAGCCACATGTAGGGTACCCAAGCAGTGTCTCATCTGCAACCTGACCAGGCCAAACTGCTTAGCTTCCACAAGGTAACTGGGCCATGAGCCTTCAGATCATACCCTAGTACCTAGCTTGGTCTATCTGCAAGTGTTTTCACTTTACAAAGATCTGAATGGTATAGGTGAGCTATGTGGAAGCCAGGGAGGCCTGTAAGCAGAGTGCTGGATGTGGGCCTGGCTTCAAATCTCACTTTTCATAATAGGCTCATTGTATGGTCTTGGGCAGATCTCAGTGGCTTCCATGCTGCATCTGTAAACATGGGGATAACAACAATTAACCTTTGTGGTGGTGGTGGTGATAAATGAAATAAGGAAGATGAGCTGAGTAAACCGAAAACTAATTTGCTCTTCAAAATTATTTTCTGAGCATTATTATGTAAAATGTTCCCTGTCTGTTCTCTGAATATTTGATATCAATATTCAGTGATATTAGATATCTGACAAGGACATGCAGTGAGATTTAGATGTTGTGTTTGACACCTGCTAGAAAGGAAAGCTGTTTGGAGATACCTCCAGATCTAAGGATGGGTCCCCACAATATGAAATAGAAGGCTGCCCACCTCCCCAAATGGCAGCCCTGTATTGAGTTCCCCCTGATCACCATCCCATAACCTTTGCTGTATCCTGGTATCATTATTCTCAGCATTAACCAACCCCAGTTGATGGTGTGAGGATAGGGAAATATGCTCAGCTTTGTGGTTGTACCCCAAGGAGGAGGAAGTGAAACCCGACAGTGTTATGACCCAGACTGCCAGCAGCACCCGGAACACTGACTTGGGAAGAGTAGACAGCTGAACCAGGAAGCATTGATTGGGGCCCTGACGTAATCTACCGTATTTTTCCCTCTATAACACGCAGATTTTTTCTCCTAAAAAGGAAGGGGAAATGTCTGTGCGTGTTATAGAGCGAATGTGTGGTCCCTGGAGCCGAAAAATCAGGCAAAAATCAAATCGCGCTTCACGGAGAAGGGAAACCTGAAAAGAGGAAGTGGTTGCTTTCCTGCATTCTGCCTTACTGCCCACCCTCCTCTGTTTCGTTGCTGTGTTTGCTGAAACGGAACAAAGAGCAGGGAAAGCCCCTCCCCTCCAGGGAAGCAGAGGGGAAAGCAGTGTGTCGTACCTTCTAATTCCTCTCTGTGCTCCGGTGCTGCTGGGGGAGAGGGAGAGGGGGGGGAGGGAGAGAGGGGGGGGAGGGAGAGAGGGGGGGAGGGAGAGAGAGAGAGAGATGGCTGGCTTGGGTGGGGGGAAACTTTTGCCTTTCTTTACTCCCTCCCGTTAAATCCCTCTCCTGCATTCTTAGCCAGCTGCTTCTCTGCACACCCCTCTCATGTCCCTTCTTTGTTTTTCCTTCGCTCCCCACTTAAAATGTGGTTACAAAGCATAGATCCACATGGATCCTCAGGATCTTTGCATTGGGTCACCCCAAATTCACCATCAGATCACATAGCATGTCCATGGCTACAGCCTGCACCAAAAAAATCACGCACCTACTGTTGCCTGGGGCTGCAATGGTGCAAAAACGTGGTTAAAAAGCATGGATCCATATGGATCCTCAGGATCTTTGCATTGGGTCACCCCAAATTCACCATCAGATCACATAGCATGTCCATGGCTACAGCCTGCCCCCCCCAAAATCATGCACCCACTGTTGCCTGGGGCTGCAATGGTGCAAAAACGTGGTTAAAAAGCATGGATCCATATGGATCCTCAGGATCTTTGCATTGGGTCACCCCAAATTCACCATCAGATCACATAGCATGTCCATGGCTACAGCCTGCACCAAAAAAATCACGCACCCACTGTTGCCTGGGGCTGCAGTGGTGCAAAAACGTGGTTAAAAAGCATGGATCCACATGGATCCTCAGGATCTTTGCATTGGGTCACCCCAAATTCACCATCAGATCACATAGCATGTCCATGGCTACAGCCTGCACCAAAAAAAATCACGCGCCCACTGTTGCCTGGGGCTGCAATGGTGCAAAAATGTGGTTACAAAGCATGGATCCACAGGGATTCTCAGGATCTTTGCATTAGGTCACCCCAAATTCACCATCAGATCACATAGCATGTCCATGGCTACAGCCTGCACCAAAAAATCACGCACCCACTGTTGCCTGGGGCTGCAATGGTGCAAAAATGTGATTACAAAGCATGGATCCACAGGAATTCTCAGGATTTTTGCATTGGGTCACCCCAAATTCACCATCAGATCACATGTCTGTGGCCACAGCATGAAGCACAAAAATGATATATCCACTGTTTCATTCAGAATGTTTTTTCCCTTGTTTTCCTCCTCTAAAAACGATGTGCGTGTTATGGTCAGGTGCGTGTTATAGAGCGAAAAATACGGTAAGTTCTGCCATCAAGGCCCTTCTAAGCCAGGCGTGCCCAAATCTGAAATGTTTGAGCCACTGACCCCCAGTGGCTGCAGCTCCAAAGCCAGACATCAGCAACCTAGTCTCAAATGTGCCTCCAAGCCTGCTCACCACAAGAGGCAGAGGTAGCAGAGTGTCAGGCTCCAGGCTCTTTAAAGCCTATCACCCTCTTGACCAAAATGTGCTGGGTCATCTTGAGGTGGAGAATGAAATCAAGGAGGCATCCAGAGCAAAGGGCTGGTGGGACCTGGGTTTGTGCCTACACTCAGGCCCAGGGGCTATAGTTCAGTTAGCACCAGCAGTCCTTGGAGCAAGTGGTCTACCCCCTAAGACCTGTCCAAGGTTCTGAAGGTTGTGGCTCTGATCTGCCTGTCAGTCCCCTGCTCGTGCTACCTGCTACAGACCACTGCCAGAATTGCTGCCACAGATGCTGCTGTGGGCTCATGCACACCAAGACTGGGCACTCAGAGCTGCCTTCCAAAATTGTAGTCTGCTTCTTCCTTATTGTGGGTTTCTCGTCCCTGAACTGTTTTGAATTTGAGCTACAATTCCTCTTTCAGACTGAATATTTTGCAGTCAGAATTGGATTGGTGAAATTGAGGTTGTTGGCACATTTACATTTTGTTATGTGCATTTTTTGTTTCACCTCCAGCTCTGGTAAGAGAGTATTCTGTAAACTGAAATAAATGAGAGGTATTCCTTTATCTGGACTGCTTATTGTGGTTGTTCAGTCACCAGACAGCCCTGGGGGCCTCTACTGTGGTTCCTGCGGGTGCTATGGCACCCTTAACCCGGCCCTCCTCCTCCCTTAGCACCTGCCAAAGCCTCTGTTCCTCCCAGTGTTTATTTTTACTTCAAAATTTTATTTTATTTTATTTCAAGCTTTTTTGGCATGTTCTTTTCTGGCTGTTTGGTTGGTTCCTTTTTCCATTTTTATCTTGACTCCTTTTAATTCTGAGGGGGCTGTAGGTTTTTTAGTTGTTTCAGTGTTCTGAGCACCACCAATTGTTCATCTGTGAAATTTGTATTTTGTGGTTCTCGTGATAGTGTCTGAAACTGGTCCCCAGACCCAAAAAATGTTTAGGGGCACTACCACCCTCAGTATAGAGAAAAATCTGACATGTGGGCCCTGCTTGTGGTTTCAGCAACTCCTACGAGATATCATGGACGGTTACTTCCCTTCTGAGCTGCAGAAGCGTTACCCAGATGGTATCCCATTTCAGGTATGCCACCCCCTGCTCTCCTACAGCTTCCTGTTTATTGAGTTCTTCGTTTGCAGAAGTTTCATTTGCTTATCAAAAATGTGGTCTGAAGTTAGAGCAGCTCCATTGTTTAAGCAGAACTGAGAACCTCTCTTTGCTCTAAGCAGTTATAATGTTTTTTCCTCTTTCAGGAACTGATTGTTCTATATATGAGGAACTAAGAGTGCTTTTTGCTTAAAAAACTGGAACACTTTTCAGTTCTTAAAAATGGAGATTCCCTCCTTATATATATATATATATATATATATATATATATATATATATTCTGCGATCATCATTGGTTGTTCTGTGTGCAGTAATAGATTATCACTGACTGTGTGGATGAACATTCTCTGGAGAAAATGGGTCTGTGTTTCATTTTGAGACCCAAGAAAGGAAGAGGAGTGGGAGAAGAGAGCTCTCAGGCAAATGGGAAGAATAATAGGACATGATCTCTGAGAAAAGGGCAGACCAAAAAGCCAGAAAATGTTAGACAAGAGGTGGGGAACCTGTGGATCCCCAGATGTTATTGGACTCCAGCTCCCATCAGCCCCAGCGAGCATGATCAATGGTCAGAGATGATGAAAAGCATACAGGTGCAAGTTACCACAAATTGAGAAATATGTTCTGTTCTGCAAAATGACAGTGCCTGAAAGTGGTTATCATATTTGGTAGGCTTGTCCCCAAGTTGTGTTTGCTTTATGGAAAGTTGAAATTGTGGTAATAAATGATCTCCTGTTGTGCACAAATTCTTCTTTTAGATTATGCCCAATATTATACAAGGCAAGTAAAGAATTAGAGATTAACTTGCTATAAACAGCCAAGTTTGAAAAAGCATGTGACTGGAAAGTTGCTGCTTCATCTATTGAGAATTGATTAGAAGAGGATTAAATATATCACTTGTGGTAAAACCTAACTGATTAGGGGGCCATACTAAGCTCCCCGAATGGTCATTGGATGTTGTGGACCTCCCTCTCTGATTACAGAGAGGGAGGTCTGCGAGTAGAGAAGGTCTGCCATTGGAGAACTTCTTGGGGAGCCATGGAAACCACACTAGGTAAAAGGTAAAGGATCCCTGGACGATTAAGTCCAGTCAAAGGTGACTATGCGGTTGCAGCGCTCATCTTGCTTTCAGGCTGAGGGAGCTGGCATTTGTCCACAGACAGCTTTCCGGGTCATGTGGCCAGCAGGACTAAACTGCTTCTGGCGCAACGGGACACCAGGACGGAAACCAGAGTGCACAGAAATGCTGTTTACCTTCCTGCCGCAGCGGTACCTATTTATCTACTTGCACTGGTGTGCTTTCAAACTGCTAGGTTGGCAGGAGCTGGGACAGAGCAATGGGAGCTCACCCCCGTCTGCGGGGATTCAAACCGCCAACCTTCTGATTGGCAAGCCCAAGAGGCTCAGTGGTTTAGACCAGTGTTTCCCAACCTTTTTTGGGCAAAGGCACACTTGTTTCATGAAAAAAATCTCGAGGCACACCACAGCCCCGTGACGCCAGCGCGCAGCGTCACGCCGGGAGGGACGCACGAAAGTGTAAGTTTCAATTCCCCCCCCCTTGCCTTCCTTCTGTGCCAACCGCCAAAAAGCCAAGAATCGCGGGACCGCCGGCGGAGGGGGGGAGGGCGAGCGGAGGCAGCGGCGAGCCCCGTTCCTCCCCATCCGCCCCATTCCGTGTAAGGAGCGCGAACAGGTGTAGAAGGGGGTCAAACCTGCGGGCCGGCGCCGGGGAACCTCCAAGCTTTGGGGGTGGGGGGGGGGAGGAGGCAGCAAAGTGAGGCAGGAAGGAGAGCGCGGCTTGGCTGGGTGAGCTTTGGCAGGGGCAGGGAATGAGAGCCGCGAGGCGGGCGCTGCGGACGGAGGCGCTGCCCGCCGAGCTCGCAGGCAGCCAGGCAGGCAGACGGCGAGAGCCCCGCGCTGGGCGGCCTCTCCTGGGAAGTTTCAAAGCTGTAGTTAACTTTTTTAGATTATTATAAAAAAAATTGAATGCTGGAGCACGATTTCTGTTCTCATCCTGAAGCAAAGTTCTTAACCCAAGGTAATATTTCTGGGTTAGTGGAGTCTGTAACCTGAAGCCTCAGTTACCCGAGGTACCACTGTCCCATGTAATATAGTTTTGTGTTTTTGTGTTGTGAGCCTTGGATGTTAAACAGCCACCACCACCGCAGGCCCTTAATGCTTTTTTCTGCAATTCTATCAGATGTGAATTAAGCCAAACCTAATCTAAGCAGAAAGTAAACGTCTTGCTCTAGGGCAGCTGGGGTCAAGGAAGATTTTTGTCTCCCCTGTTAGCTGTTCCAGTAGATGTGGCCTGATTTGCACAAGACCTCTATAGGAACCATTAAGTTAAACTGAGCAAAGAGGCTACAGTTAGGGACACAGGTTTGCGTGTTCTTTCACCCCATGAGTGGGGGCACAGAACACATTTGGCCCCCACAGCAATTTGCTTCTTTTTCTTTTCTTTGGGACTATCCCATGGGAAAATTTTAACAGCTGCACCAAGGTCTAGTGATGGCCATACCTACTCCAAGCCCTCCTAAAACTGGGCAGGCTTCCTTTCATTGTCCATGTCTACCCCAGCGTGGGGGTGGGTCAGCAGCAAGTGTTGTTTTCTGCTGCGTGCTTGGCATAATTCCTTATAAACAGAGGCGTGCTCAGGCTTTCTATACCCGGTGGTAGCAACAGAAAAGTCTCCTCTGTAAGTAGCTGGCTCCAGATGTGCCCAAGAGCTCTTCATTCCATTTATTTCCAGATCCTTGGGGAAGAACCACCAGACACCATTTTTACCAAATCCTGCAGTGTAGTCGATGAAGTGATAAAGGCAGCTACCACTAAATAAAGTGCAAAGCTAGGTATCTCTACGTAAAAATAAAGATTTATGCTGCTGGTCCATCACCGTGTCCTTTGCAGGATTTTCTCAGAGCTAGTTCACACACACATATACGTCATTTGATGACTTGCAGCTTAGTTGCAAATTCCTTTGGAAAATCGTGTGTATGATGGTGCATTCATTAATCAATGAACATGTATGTGTTTAATAGCCCTTGGCTAGCAGGGCCCAGCGTAGGCCAAAGGATGCAGCTCACAAAAATGCCCAAGCCACATGGCTAGCACCTACTTCAACTGATCACAGGGCAGTAACTAGCACAGAAACATCCTTACTGTAAATGGAAGATGTGATCCATAAAGGCCAGACTCTAGGGCTGTGCGCTCATCTCACTCTAAAGGCCGGGAGCCAGCGCTGTCCGCAGACACTTCCGGGTCACGTGGCCAGCGTGACAAGCTGCATCTGGCGAGCCAGCGCAGCACACGGAACACCGTTTACCTTCCCGCTAGTAAGCGGTCCCTATTTATCTACTTGCACCCGGAGGTGCTTTCGAACTGCTAGGTTGGCAGGCGCTGGGACCTGGGAGCGCACCCCGCGGCGGGGATTCGAACCGCCGACCTTTCGATCGGCAAGTCCTAGGCGCTGAGGCTTTAACCCACAGCGCCACCCACATACCAATAGTTTATTCAGTAAGTACCTACTCCCCTTCATTCCTGCTACAGTGGGCCATTCACACCTGTTCTTAGCTGCTGTATACAATGAGTGTTTTGCATTTCAAGTCAACAGAGACCAGGCTGTTGCACCATGCTCCAGCAACCCTTCTATGACTTTTCTTCTGAGTAGGCAAGGCTGAGCTTTGGATTAGAAACTTGTAAAGTTACCAAGTAGCCAAGAGGTTCTACAACTGGCACTGACGCACACTAGGAAGATAAATGCAAGCTATTTCAGTTTCAGGCATGCTTCATGTATTTCCTGTCATGTAGCCATGTGTCTGTCCATCTCCCCCTTTAATAGAGATTCCTTCTCCACATATATTTCCTTTTGAAAGTTGTAAAAGGAATATATGCGAAGAGGGAATTATAAAGGGGTGGGTGGGTGGACGGACACATGGCTATCCAAAAGGCTATGTAGTGCTTTTTAGCACTGAGTGATTACTCCAGCAACAAAGGATCTCTTACACAGCCTACAAGTGAGGATGTATGGGAGAGTAGGAATAGCAAGCAGCTCAGCAGTACAGAAGCCATCAGCGCCACTTACCACAATCCTCCCATTTCCCCTTTGTATAACCTGACACAGAAGAATAAGGGAACCATTGCATCCAAATACAGACAAGTGTTTTGCACTGGCTCAACCCTGGGAGACCTGAGCATAATAGTTGGTCTCCAAATCTACTGGATCAGCCTCTGGAGCCGGAACTCTCCCAGAGTTCATCTGCACCATTTATGCTCCAGCCATGTTTCTGGCAGGTCACAAAACAGCTCAAGGAGATGTCGTTTGTGTTAGTGTCAGTCAAGACATTCAGATCCAGCAGAAAATCTTAAAGTAACGCAGATGAGTATCATCAAGTCACAAAACGATGAGACATGATCTATTATGGTGACTGAAGCAGCTAAGGGTTCCAGCAGCTGGTGCAGTCTTCCAGAAATTTAGATTGTGTAACACTGCAGCACGCCCCCCCCCCATATTTGTAAATCCAAGTACAGTGGTACCTCAGGTTAAGTACTTAATTCGTTCTGGAGGTCCGTACTTAACCTGAAAATGTTCTTAATCTGGAGCACCACTTTAGCTAATGGGGCCTCCTGCTGCTGCCGTGCTGCCAGAGCAAGATTTCTGTTCTTATCCTGAAGCAAAGTTCTTAACCTGAAGCACTGTTTCTGGGTTAGCGGAGTCTGTAACCTGAAGCGTATATAACCTGAAGCGTATGTAACCCGAGGTACCACTGTAGAAGACTAATGTTATTTTCAAACTGTCAAGAGATGATACACCAAATGAACTGAACTTGCAGGAGTCCCCAAAACCAAACCAAAGCTTAGTCTACTGAAAAGCTCCCCGGAGAGGCAGCTTTCCCCTGCTCCCCAGCTCAGTATCATCCAAAGGTCGGAACCTGCTTCTCATTCCCAGGGCTCTTGTGGCGAAGCTAGAACGGCTCTCTGGGGCCCTACCTTTTGAAACACACACGGTTGCATCAGAGACTTTAAAACAAAAAAGCATTTTATTCAACAAAAATGCACAAATGCCTGCTCAAACTATAAAAACACAGGAAGCTCTTAATTCATGACCATTATCAGGCTTTTACAACAGCTATATTGTGAACAAACATCAGCTTCAAAAAACCCTATGGACAGAGAGAGAAAAACAGACACCACCCAGCAGACACGGGGGGATGTTTTGTTATCATTTATTTGTGAAGTTAAAACGAGCGGTAAAAAGTAAAAAATTGAGCATACAATTTCTTGTTTCAATCTCCTCTTGAACAGACAAAAAACACGACAGATCAGTCCCAGCAGTGGAGAAATGGAGGGCCAGGGCAGGGTTTGTCTGAAACACCAACACCTTTGTCCGAGGAATGTTCCAACTCTAACTAAAAAGCAGAGTGACTTTTCCTTGTAAAGTTTATTTTTCAAAACGAAACAGAAAGAAAAGAGGAAGTGTTACCCTGAAAACTGAGGTGTGTGTCAGGCAGGATAGGTCTGGCGGCGGCGGTTTTAGTCGGCTATCTTCTACAGCTGCTGGCTCAACATTAGGGGTTTGGAGATCTGGATTTATTTAAGAGAGACTTGAAGGCGGCGTAGCTGAGATTCCCAGGAGAAACCCAGCAATCAGAGCAACAGGCCAGCTCCCTTCCCACCCTGTCACTTCCTGCAGCAGCCACCTCTTTCCAAAACAAAAGGTTCTCAGAGATGGGGAGGTTCACATTCAACTCACGAGCCTGTTGAAAGGAGAAAACATGATGGGAACCCTGTTACTGAAGCTTGAAGCAGGAAGCAAGAGGGGCAACCACAAGGATGTGTATTCCATGGACTCAGGTACAGAATTTGCTATCTGGAATGCAGTTGCAGGCTGTTAAAAACTAGAATTTTATTTAGTATTTGTTATACAACAGCAGAAACAAAAACAAGCACACAGAAAAGGTGACAGTATCTGCTTAATGTGTATGCCTTACCTATTTTTGGACTATTAGTAGTACGCAACTTTTTCCTATCTTAGAGCCCTGTTCCCTGTTTTACAATCCTCTGGTCCTAATAGTAGCAGATGTTGTAACTCTGACAACCTGGAACCTAAATTAAACTTCACTGCCCTGGATGTGCTCTGGGTTCATCTCCACCCATGAACCTGCTTAGTCATACAGATGGCTGCATGCTCTATTACTTTGTGTGCTCTGTAAAAGCTCAAATACTTGATCTACTAAGACCTGTACAAACCCCACAATCAGACTTCATTTGTATAAACTCATTTGTCCAGCCACTGACAAAACTGTCTCCCTGCTTTTGGAGAAGTGCCGGTCACTAAAGGAACAGCTAGACGAAGCTTATCAGGGACTCTGTGCTCTGGATTCTATAATCACGCTGCACAGAGAGTTTGAGGTCAAAGGGTTGGTGAACAGAAATATTCAACAAACCAGTTCTCTTTTGCTAGTTGGGAGGATACCTGTTTGGGAACTAGTCTCCTGGAGACATACCAGACACGAAATGAAGTGTCCTAACAAGTTCTCCTCTGGTTATAACTACAGGTTTCTAGATTTTATGGTGGCAAATGCTCCTTGCCTCTCTACCAATGACTAGTAGGAACAGAATTATCTTTATGAAGTCAACTTTGCTTAACATGTAATTCAGGCTGCATGTGTTCAGCGTATGCTTTTCTCGCTCATACCAGATGGAATCAGGGGTTTCAAAGAAAGACTAAAGCGCATCATGGGCTGGAGATTGTTCAACGCTCAACTTGTAGATATGGCTCATGTTCCACATGTGTTCATTAGATTTTCTTAAATTCTCCCCAAAATGTGCATAATTTCTGTGTCCCCCCTCCTAGTCCCTTAAAGCTCAGACAGTATTTTACAACACCTTGTACTAAAAACTTAACACAATACTCACCAGGAGGCTCCTGGTCATCCGCTCCCAAACAGAGATCCTCCCCATTAGGAAAAGAGGGTTTATTTGTACATTATTTCTGTTCACCAACTTATTGTACCTTGTTTGTTTGTTGGAACTTTGGCATTAAAAATGACCCAACTAGAGCAGCATGTAAATTATATGGGTGCCTTATTAGGTGACAATAGAGCCTGGGCTCTCAAATGGATCGGGGTTAACCTCAGATGCACCCTGATGTTGCTCACAAGCATATAGCTTGCATGTTAGTCTTAACTTTGAGGTGGCTACATGAGAATCATCCCTTTTTTGGTGTCTGACTTGGAGTGAACCCAGTCTGAAAGTGTTTGACTGAAGGAAGTTTTGTAGGACTGAAGAAATATGGCTTAGTCTTTTGACACTGGGGTTGAAGAAATCAATGTTTGGAATAAAAAATGAAGCCAGGAAGGAAATTTCTATTATTGAAGGTGGACAGATACTGCTGCTGTTAATTATGGAGCAGAAAACTCTTAGATGTGGGTGGTGCTAGCACGTTTCACTTCACATATTTGAAGGCAAGGATTTTGGAGGCTTGTTCATCTGCAATACTCTAGCCCCTCTTTGAACTGGCAATAATACTTCCCAAGCTGACACTGCTTCTGCTATTGGGATGAAAAAAACAAACAAACAAACCTGGATCTCTCACTCCAGATTTAAGAAAAACATTTGAGGCATTTCAACGTCTTCTCTGAAAAGCCTCTAGGATTAGACCTTAAAAAGGTGTGGCGGGCAGCTGGTTTGGACAGGAGGGAAGAACTGACATAAACTAGCCACCCCAAACTTAAAAAAGGATTACATCTCAAAATGTCTCACAGGAGTTTGTAGAAAGTGTGTGGAGCCCAGTCTGGAGCCAGATACCTGTTCTGAAGCAGAAAGGCCACCCTGGCTGTAGTTCTGCAACTCACCTGCTGTCCCTGCTGTGTGGGTGGTGGCACTGGGCCACCAGCGCCAGGCGTCTGTCCATAGTACGCAGCTTGTTGTCTGTAGTATTCTGCCCAGGCTGCACTGTAGTCTGGCTGAGGTCCTGGTGGTGCCGTTGGCCCTGCCCCAGTAGCTACTTGAGCTGCTTCCAAAAAGAAAAGAGGGACTAACTGTGCAATCCTAGGCATGCCAGCTTAGAAGCAAGCCCCACTCGGCTCAGTGAGACTTACTCCCAGATAAATGCGTATAGGGCTGCGACCTTAAGACACTCAAGGGAGGTAACTCCAAACCCAGCCTGACAGAAGTGCTATAGGACATATCCTCCAATGAAGCTCAGCCCCTTAACTCACCTTGCTTCTTATAATACTCTTCCCAGGCTTTTGTGTAGTCCTGCTGTGGTGGAGCTCCAGGCTGCTGGGGCTGCTGGCCTGTAGGCAGTGTCAAACGACAACAGGACCCTGGTCATGCAAAGCTTTCAACTACTCAAGATCCACCTCACTTACAGGATTCAGATTCTAAAAGGTTTACAGTGACACCGACTACTAAGAGCAGTCACTAGGACCAATGAGGGAGAAGCAATGTCTTGGCTCATAACGTTCTGAACTTTAGAGGAGCATGGAGCACTTCTGAAGTACAGTGTAGAGCTTGGCACTCTCTCCAGAAGTGGGAGGTATGATTACCTTATGGAGCGCATTCATAGACCCCTTACCCATAGCAATCCCACCCCCCAAACAGAAGAAAGTCCATTGACAAGACTCTTAAGTCAGAAGAGTGGAAGAACCCACAGCCAAACTGCCTTGTGACTCTCAGCATCTCAAAGGCTTCAGCTCTTTCTTCCCTGCAGCAGATTTAAGAGATTCAAGCTAAATACAGTGGTACCCCGCAAGACGAACGCCTCGCAAGACGGAAAACCCGCTAGACGAAAGGGTTTTCCGTTTTGGAGGCGCTTCGCAAAACGAATTTCCCTATGGGCTTGCTTCGCAAGACGAAAGCCCATAGGGAAATCTCCGGGACAGCGGGGAAGCGCAGCGCGTCTTCCCCACTGTCCTCGGACCTCCTCCCACCGCCCGGCTTCGGAACGATGCTCCGAAGCCGGGCGGCGGGGCGGGACGATGCTCCGAAGCCGGGCGGCGGGGCAGGAACGCCTCCTCCCGCCGCCCGGCTTTGGAACGATGCTCCGAAGCCGGGCGGCGGGGCGGGAACGCCTCCTCCCGCCGCCCGGCTTTGGAACGAAGCTCCGAAGCCGGGCGGCGGGGCGGGAATGCCTCCTCCCGCCGCCCGGCTTCGGAAGGATGCTCCGAAGCCGGGCGGCGGGCGGGGACACCTTCTCCCGCCGCCCGGCTTCGGATGGCTTTCCTGAAGACTTGGGGTGGGAGGAGGGTTTTCCTTCCCACCGCCAACATTCAGAATGCTGTTCGCACGCAAGCCCCGGGAACAGAGGGAAAGTGCTGCGCGCCTTCCCCTCTGTTCCCGTACCTGTCCTGAAGGCTTGCGGTGGGGAGAAAAGCCCTTCTCCGCACCGCCAGCCTGGCAAGCGGTTTCCCTAGGAACGCATTAATTGATTTTCAATGCATTCCTATGGGAAACCGTGCTTCGCAAGACGAAAAACTCGCAAGAAGAAAAAACTTGCGGAACGAATTAATTTCGTCTTGCAAGGCACCACTGTACCAAGATGAAAAATTCCTCATAGGGAACCATTACAAAAAACAAAGCAAACTTGCTTTGAGAAATGGTCCCCAAATGGTACTGCTGTTGGTCAAAAATCTCAAAATTAAGTAGCAGTTGGCAAAACTTGTACTGGCTTGAGGAATCAACCTAAGAGGGCCTTCCAATTAAGTCAGTCATTCATGCCTGGATTTGAATGGGCCATCCCTAAGGGGCACCAACTCCCATGACATTCACAAATCAAGATGCAGAAATAGTTTAACAGGAACAGAAAACAAATGCTGAAGCATTTTGAGTCAGTACGTTATTTATTCGTCAGGGGAGACTGGAAGGAATTCAGCGAAGTTTCTCAATCAAGGTGCTTTCTGCAGCCCTTGTAATAATACCATTAAATTACTCCTATCAAAAGAGGTTAAGGATCTGGATAGTCAATTACCTAGTTTTTTGTAATACTCCTCCCATGCTTTAGTGTAGTCTGACTGTCCGGTGGGGGGCGGTTGGGGTGGCTCTCCTTGCACTGGTGGCGCCGTGGGGGCAGGCGGTGCTCCTGGAACTGGGCCCGGGGGCTGCTGGTAGTAGTGCGAGTAATAAGCTGCCCAGGCAGCGTTGGGGTCTGCCGCTGCCGCCGCTTTACCTGGGCAGGAGACACCACAAAAAACCTGAATGCTTCCAGCCACTCTCCCTCATCCCCCTGCGAACCTTGAATGTGCAACAGTACAGTGGTACCTCGGTTGTCGGACGTAATCCGTTCCAGAAGACCGTTTGACTTCTGAAACTTTCGACAACCGAGGTGCTAAGGATAGTCTGTGAAGTCAATGGGGGTGGGGGGAACATGCAGCGGAAACTGTTTGACTTCCAAGGCGTGTTTGAAAATGGAAGCATTTACTTCCAGGTTTTTGGCGTTTGAAAACCTGAAATGTTTGGCTTCCGAGACGCTTGAAAACCGAGGTACCACTGCATTGTATATTCTGACGATTGACTCTTGAGGGCTGGTATACAAATACTTACTTGGGTCATGAGGAGCAGGAGGCTGCCACTGTGGATAGGCATTCCCCCAGCCTTGAGGTGGGTACTGTGGAGGTGGTGGCCCTCCAGGACTGAAATAAGAGGAGCGAAAAGGTCACTGGCAATATTTACACTAAGCAACCCTCCAGGCTCAGGATTCAGAAATTTGGAACCTGCCGAGCAGCAAATCAAATTGCTCCAGGTCACTGGAGAACACAAAGGGTGGGATTCACCTAGTGAGTCTTGTCAGCTGAACCCCTGTTGTACGTTCAACACAGTGCAACATTGAATTCCCCCAAAAGCAACTGCACAGGGAAACTGGAGCGCCTTCATTTTTTTACAGGAAATAAGGCAGGGAGAGGGAAGGTGTTGCTGTACTCCAATGCTCATCAGCACCAGCCAGCATGGCCAGTGATGACGCAAAGCGCAGAGTGACAGGTTCCCAATCCCTGTAGCAAGACATCCCAGATCCAGCCCAATCTCCTTTATGAAATAGGTAGACAAGGGAGCTGCACTGCATTAAGACCAAATCTTATCAAGGGGCAAAGCATCACAATGAGCACCTGCCAATGGCAGAGAGAGAGAGTTTATTCTACCTTCCCAAAGAAGAAGCAAGTCTTATCCGATATATTAGCTTTTGGAAGCACAAGTTTTACTCCTGTAAAAGCACCAAGCAACGACAGCAGAGCCCTCTAACTTTGCAAGTGGTTTTGTTTCCCTTCCAGATTGCCCTAGTACCACTTTCTTGGTACCAGATGCTACACTGTCACATGGTTTTCCATTTCAAGGTGAAAGATGCCAATGAGGGTAGCAGCAGCAAGGAACATGCCCAAAGCCAAACCCCTCTGTGAAAAAGTTCTTTCTGCATAAACTATTGTGGATCCATGCCGCCTCTCTTATTGTTTGGTCAAGAAAGTGACAGTGTACTGCAGTGTGTCTTGAAGGTAACATTTTTTCACCCTGTTTGCATAAACCTCAAAAAATCCCCAAATTAGGGTGGGGACTTCGGAGACATTCAGGCTCGGCTCAGCACTTTTGGGCACATCAAACTGAGCAGTACACAAGCGTCTCTCCAAGACAGCGAGTGTAGATTTTAATGTCTGGGAAGATTGAAAGGGGTGTCGAAGGCAAAATGGCCCAAAAGGGAGGCACACTTGAGCAGTCTTAGTACTTACTGAGGGGGGGCACTAGGTGGCCCTTGATTAAAAGGCCCTGGGTTGAAGGGGCCCATTGGAGCCGGTCCAGGAGGTCCACCAGGCCCAGGTCCTGGTCCAACTGGACAGAGGGGACCCTAAGGAAGAGATGAATAATCCCTGAAGTGGAAACTGCCACATCCAGAACACAGTCACTAACATTCCCGGCTCGCTCCCATCTGGGAGGCCTGCCACACAGTGAAGGGCAGGCAAATACCTCAATCTTCTCTTCAATGAGCTGCTTGGCATGGTCAATTTGTTGAGGTGATCCCCGGATGATGAACAGTTTGAAGTTGGGGTCTCCATTGGGCGGTAGCTGCCGAGATATTTCTACAAAGGCTCCCGTCTGCTGATTGATAGCCTTTACGTTTTCTCCACCTGAAAAGAAAATGTGGAGGTAACACCTCAGGACCTGAAAGAGCGTCTCCACCCCCATCGTTCGCCCTGTGGACACTGAGGTCCAGCTCCGAGGGCCTTCTGGCGGTTCCCTCACTGCAAGAAGTGAGGTTACAGGGGAACCAGGCAGAGAGCCTTCTCGGTAGTGTGGAATGCCCTCCCATCAGATGTCAAGGGAATAAACAACTATCTGACTTTTAGAAGACATCTGAAGGCAGCCCTGTTTAGCGAAATTTTTAATGTTTGATGCTGCCCAGAGTGGCTGGGGGAACCCAGCCAGATGAGTGGGGTATTATTATTATGCCACCTCACTTACCTCTGCCAATAACCAGTCCGCACTTGTGAGTGGGGATAGAGAATGTCATCTCTCCTCCAGGGGGCCCCCAATTACCCTGCCCCCTGCCCCTGCCTCTGCCTCCAGGAGGCATTCCTGAGCCTGGGGGACCTGGTGGGCCACTCTGCAAGACAGGAACACAATTCATCTTCATGGGAAAAGGAAACATTCTGTGGTTAGTGGGTGCATCTGTAATGCTGACTCTGCAGTGGCCTCCAAACTACATAGGGAGCCCTTGGCTGCTGCCAAAGTTCATCAGGGGTTCCTGAATGAGAAGGCCATTCATGGCAAACTTCCTTGAAGGACACTTTGCCCACCATCAACAGTTTTTCAGTACAATGCGAAGCTACAGAGATGCGTTGAATGCATTGTGGGATGCACTCTGCTTCAGTGTGGCCTGGCTACCACTACACCTGCCACCACCAACATGCCCCAGAATAATGTGTCAAACATGCTGGGGATCCTTGACAACTAAGTCAACATGGAAAGGGCTCCCCTGAAGGTAGAGCGTGAAAGTCTGCTGAAGAGAAATAGCAACATCTACTTTTTCGGTGTGATTTCTACCTTGGGCTGGTAAGACAACCAGAGTCAAGTTCTCAGTGGGATGATATTGAGGAGCTCTAGCACCTTATTAGCAAAACATGACTGAAAAGATTTTGAAACTACTTGACATGCTGGGCCAAGGCTTTGAGGGTCAAGGTAACTGTATTTCATACCCGGAGACTCTGGAGAAGCTCATTGATAATCCTGGCGGCATGCTCACATCTGTCAGGGGGACCCATGATGTGGGCAATCTTCTCAGGACCTGTCCCATCATCTATAATGCAAACCAAACAGGGAACTTCATTAGGTTCCACATTCAATTAGTTTCAGAACCAGTCCACTAGCTCATGAGCCACTTGGTGCAGCAACAGCATAAGCTCTCAAAAGAGAGAGACAAGCGTCCATTTAGCTTCCTTAATACCTTCTCCCCTCTGCAGCAATATGCCACTCCAGTTCTGTGGAAGGAGAACACACACAGTTCACACAAAGAAGCCTAGAGAACCCAGACACACAAAGCAGGCAACACTGCCCTTCAGGAAATGGGTACTACAAGCCATGCCAAGATTTGAATACACCAAGCCCCTATGGTTCTTTGATTGTGTAAACTCTTAAATCTGGGATCTCTCTGGGAAAAGATTTCACTTTGTGATTTTCAAAAGTGTTTTTGTAGAACGTAATTACAACAGGGACAAAAACTTGTGGAGAGCAGGTAAAAGATCAGATAAATAGGTGATAAATAGTATAGGGAGAAAAGCCAGAGAACATTCAATAGGCCTGATTTTTCAGCATGCTGTATGAAGACAGATCATGACAGGGAAGAGATTTAGTCTTCTGACCTTGCTTGAACTGTATCCGAACTCCAGCGTCATTTTGTATTTTCTTAATCATCTCACCACTACGCCCAATAACCACACCAACAGAATGCCTGGGCACAGGGACCTGAGCAAGCAAGAAAATGACAAGCAGAACCAAGGTCAGGTAAGAGAAGTTTCAAATTTCTAAGAAATGTTAGGACTGGACAAGTGTGAGTATCAATACAGAGACGGGGGGGGGGGGGAGATGAGCACAAAATGTCATGCTATAAATTATGTCCCCCTGTCCCAACAAATCCAAGCCAATGTCCTTACATCTATTCCTCCACCAATCCTGGAAACCGTATTCATTTCGGTCACCAAAGCCTCCCTGGTCCCGTTCTCGTAAGATGTCCATTACCATTTCACAGGCTTGCTGCAAAGAAGCATGAACATTAATGTTGGAATTATTTGGGAACCTCTCTCAAGAGTATTTCCCCCAAGGTAGATGTAGCACGAGAACTGCCAAGGAAGAAGTCCTTTTTTGTACTTGTGAATACCTGGATTTGAGGCTGGGCAGTTTAGTCACTATCACTGCAGCAAGAGTAAACTTTGGGGTAGCTAGTTAAAAGTCTCAGTTCAAGTAACCAGTTTAATGCTGTACTAGCAACTCAGTCTAAAAGGTCACATCATACACTGATGGGAAACTACAGCAGGGATTCAAGAAGGCACATCATGTGGTATGAAGGAGAGAGGTGAATGACTTTTGCAGCAGAGTTTTGGAGATGAGTGAGGGGACCAAAGTAATAACAAGGCAAGTCTAAAAGGAAGGCTGCAATAGTCATGGCAGGAAACCACCGGCGCAAGAGTCTGAACTGTGAGCATGCAGCCATTTTCACAATGATGAGAGTACGGTTGGGTATCTAACTACTTAAACACCACCACCATGGTCACCTGATCAAACGGACAAATGATAACTTTAACACAACATTTCATTGGCATTTTTTTGTTACTAAAACAAAAAGAGATTGTTGATCGTTGTTGCTAAATAGAAAAACAAGTTAATTAACTTATTGCGAAGCAAGAAATTTCACCCCTTCGGCTTTTATTCAAAATGCTTACCTGTACTTTGTAAGGATCACCAATTATCCGAAGGGGCTTGTCTACATTTGTGTTTTGTGAACCGTCTTGAATTAAAATCATTTTCACTCCAGCTCGTTCCTACATTGGCAGAAAGCGAGAGGTCAAGCGGGTTACACAGCTGTGCAGAATTCTTGCGAGCCCTGCCTCCTTGGACAGGACTTAAACTAAGATCAATTTGAATCTCAGGAGGCTCCAGTCCAAGAAACCATCCTTGCCCCAAGAGGCCAGAGAAACCAAGTGCTGTAAGCAAGAGAGGAGGCAAGTAAAAAGAGGGCAAGCACCAGCTCTGATGCAAGGAATTGGGCTGGGAGCACAGCATAGCCCTCACCTGCAGCTGCTTAATGGTCTCCCCTCCCTTGCCAATCACCAGGCCTGCTTTCCCAGCTGGGATCATGATTTCCTGCACTGTACCATTCTGCCCATTGGCATTATCGTGGAACTGACCAGGTGGCCCACCACGTCCTCGAGACACGATATCATCAAGCATCATTTTTGCCTTCCTGCAAAGAGGTGGGATGACAAACAACATGACGGTGAGTGACAGGGCTTACAGCCTCTAGTCTTTCATTATGAAGGTACGGTAACATGAAACGGAACTCACAGCAGTGTTCTTCGTTCTCAAATCACCTGTAGTTCAGTGTTGCTGTTGTGCTGATTCCACAACATCACACAACAGGTAACCTAACCAGTTCAAGTTGCGAATACAAGCACTTTTTATTTGCTCTGGATAGTAATGACCGATTTAATGACATTGCATTTTGTGTCTATACAATGTTATGTCATTCATAACAATAGGAAAAATCCTGCTTGTCTGCCAGGTACAGTGGTGCCACAACTGCAATTCTCAGTAAGTTTTTAGCCCCACCCACCAATGTCAGTCAAACCAGACATGTTCCAGAGCTCAGATGTTTCCCCACAGGGAACATATAAAGCCCATCACAAAGAAGTGGCTTTTGTGTGCTGAGATACAAAGTCCTGCCAAGTTTTTCTTTCATTCTTGAAATTTTCTACCATATTTTGAGACAACAAGGCAGCTTCTACAGTAAAAATACAATAAAAACAATGAGGTAAAAGCAAATACTGTTAAATCAGCAGAAAGAGAGAGGCATAAAACTGGATCAGTTTAAAAATGCACCATCACAGATGGAGCCCAAAACCAGATTAAAGGCACAGTCAAATAAAAAAGCCTTTGCTGCCCTCCTTACCTTGAGAGAGGGGGCCAATTAGACTGCTTTCAGGGAGAAGTTCCACAATTTGGATATTGCTACTAAGAAGGCCCAATTGTTTTCCTGATTGTTATGCCCTGCTCCTCTGCCACAGTCCTTGACTATGCCACCTGGAGGGTGGATTCTTTTGGCACAGCCTGTCTCTCCCCCCCCCTTATATTTTTGAAATACGTAACATATTGACAAAGGACAAGAGGCTACTCACTGCACAGATTCTGGTGATCCTGTCAGAGACACACTTCGCTCTGGCATTCCTCCACTGTCTGTAGGAGGAAATAAAGGCCATCAGGAGACATTTCTCTGCATCAACACATTTCCTCAGAGTTTGATCCCTCCTCCAAATCATTTATCATCCACAAGGTATGAAGGAACTGGTGTTGAAAGAGTAGGTCTTTCACACACATGTATAACATTATTAAGGGCAATTTCTCTTTAATGAAAATGCTGATCAGACAACAGGAAGTAGTACAAGGACTGAAAATGGTGAAGACACCTGTAAACTTGGCAACTGAAATGGTTCCCCACTCAAACAAAGTTAACTTACCACAAGCTAGAAAATACCATTTGCCTTGTGAGAATACTGTATTCATGCCGCCCCAACAAGATTCCTCCCTCCTATTTTCTAGCAGAGTGTATTAGCATATTCAGAAGACACTTTGTCTCCTGAACTACATTCTTTACCACAATTATATCCAGTGAGCTACTTGCTGCCACGATTATAGGCTTCAGAAGGAACAGCCAACACCTGCAGCTCCATATGCTGGAAGTTACACCCCATGCAATTCTCACACCTACCTGGAGAGATCTGTACTTTGCATCCAGAGTCCTGCTGTATTTTGTTGATCTGTTCCCCACCTCTTCCTATGACTGCAAAGTAAAGAGAGGGGCATTAAGAAACTCAAGCCTGAGATAAAAGCAGTTGTCATTATCCTAAGAGGGAGGCTTGAAGACAACACAGGTTTCCCTCTCTCCTCTCCACAAGAGATGGAAAGGATCTTTCTAACATTAAATAAAACCCCATGAAGGGCTGTGTGCATATGTGCATTGGGGACAGTAGCTAAGTGGAGACGTAATCCAATCAAGTTTCGCTGTTTATATGACATATAAGTGAAGGATGACAACTGCTCCTCCTAAACAAAGTTCACACAAACATGAAAGAAAGAACTCCAGGGTCTCATGATGCCACAGAGGTATGATAGCCTACAAGAACTAGAGGTCAATGAGAACCTTAGCGCTCAAGTTTCAACCAATTTCTCTGCTAGCCTTCAGAGCTTGAATGCCAAGCCAATTTAAAACCAGGGCTTGTAAACAAAAATGCCTTCTGAGAACCAATCCTTCCCTACTTAAGATAAAACTCTGCTTCAGGCAGTGTTTTGCAGCCACCATTCCTTCTGGTAAAGGCCAATGCAGGGCCTTCTACCTTAGTCAGGATCACTCACAGAAAGTTGATGAATCCAAAGCAAATGCCAAAAGCAATCCAGAAAAGGAACACTTTTTCACTGCAGCACTCCCATCCTGAGCCTCAGAAGTGTCCAGGGCAAATCTGTGTTGCTGCTCAACTCACAAAAGTCTTGCTACGCATGGAAAGTGCTCATATGACACCAGCCTCAAGTTGTCCTCAGCAACCAGCTCCTACCAATTTAATTAAACTGAAGGCTTGCCAGAGCACTTTATTGAGCAGAACACCCACCCCACATCTTTGGAGCTACGTACCATACACAGCTTGAAGCACACAGGGTCAACTCAAACACTTGACATCTCTCAGGAAAGACACACAGAAGGGTCACAAAACAAACCAGCCTGCCTGAGCCTTCCCTGCGGAAAGCTCAGCCAACAGGCATTGAAAAATCAAGAAGGCACCAGTTAGTAAAGGTAAAGTGACAGTCTTTCAACTACGGCAACAGCAGATTTCTGCCCTCTCTGTCTAATACTCACTGAGTCCCACCATGCCATCAGGTACTCTGTACTCTTCAGTCACTGTAGACCTGCAAGGGAAAGTTTGGCAGCTTAAAGTAAGGAGTGGGAGGGTTACAGAAATGGAGCTGGTGTTTACCAGCATCCATCAAGAAGCAAAAACGGAGAGCTTTCCTCCTCCTCCTGGGAGGGCAGACAGGAAGGTGGCTGAGCAATTATGCACCGCTCTGAGGAAATCACCATGCACCCGTGCAAAATGCACCCATGCAACCTGGCAGAACCTGCTGCAAACTAAGTAGCCCAGCATCTGCCCACAAGGCTCAGACACAGGCTTCACAAACTATAGCTACAAAACCAGAAGCTACACAAGAATGTGAGTATCTAAGAAATGGCCAACCAGCACAACCTTTCACTACCTACCAAGGCACGCAAGTGCTTGGGAGTGACTGGTCTTTTAGTGGGACATCACTCACAAACCTGGATGCCAACCTCACCCAACAAAAGCAGCCTTTTCTCTTTGGGGGTACTGAAATGCTGCCCCCTTGCAGTCAACCTGAACTCACAAGCTGAATACTTTTAGCATTGATTTAACCTTTCCAGCTCAAGCCTATGTGGGGAGAAACAAAAGAGGCACACAGCTAATTTACCTGGGGGGAGGATGGATCGGTCCAAGCTGAGGGGGTGGTGGCATGGCTGGAAAGCAAAGCAAGGGTTTGGTTATGAATCCACATTCTTGAAGGTAAACTATAAATCAGTCACTGGGTTTCCCAGTCTGTTTTTTAAAAGGTCCTGTTTTTAAAATGCAAAGCTGACCTTCCTAATCCCATAGAACTCTCCCCACCAAAAGAGTTAGCTTACATGTCCTCCCACTTTTCAGTATCAATATGAAAATAAATATGAACAGAATTTCCACGTAGTTAACACACATTATTCTAGAAGTCTTTAATAATAAAGTATACTTACGTTCTGGCTGGGGAGCCATTTTCTTGCTCTCTGGTTGGTCTGTCAAAATAAAAATAAATAGTCACCTCTTTCAAAAATTAAAATACTGTCTCTCCTCTCTTCCAGCTTTCAAAACTAACAGTCAAGATTGCAGCTACATGGAAGGCATATTCTGGAAACTTCACGAGCTCTGATAACTATATCAACAACGCATTCATATTCAGGCATACTAACACAACTGCATGACCTTTAGCAAGGGGTGTGTGTGTGTGTGTGTGTGTGTGTGTATACTTCACACTCCTAAGAATCCAGAGTTCTACATGAAGTATTGCCAGTTTATTTTACTGTGTCCCACCAGGGTCAGTCTCACATACCTCCATCCTCTAGTTGTCTCTTCTGACCACCAAATCCAAAGTCAGGTGTAGTGTTGTTCACTGTTGTGGCTGTGTCCCCCCCAATTTTAGCTGCTATCTGAAAGTAGAATAGACACTAGTTAGTCTTCCCTAAATCTTCTCAAAAGAACCAAGAGCAAGTTGTTTAATACACAATCATTTCAAAAACCCAGGAACACCAAGTCCTTAAGTATACATTGCAACACATGGCACATTACTGTGCTTTTCCTAAGCCCAAAGTGGTCTAAATATATAAAAATGGCAAGCCATTAAATCTCACCATGGTAATTCATTCACTAGTTACCTCCTATTTAGACTACTGTCATGCTCTCTGTGTGGTGTTGCTTTTAAGAAGTGTTCTGAAAATTAAACTGGCAGCAGCATTTTGCACTGGTTGATGGACTGGCAGTAAGACAATTGATGAATGTTACTCTAATTTTGTGTGATCTGATTGCTTGTTCTGGGCTTAACATAAAAGTACTGATTTTAACCATTAAGCCCTAAATCATTTGTGAATGGAGTATCTCAAAGATAGCATTCTTTTGTATGTGACCCACATGATGCCGTTCAACACATGAAGTCTTACCCTGGGTGCCATTCAGCAGGCACTCACAAGGAGTGCAGATTTTTCAGTGGTGACATTGACTATACAAGTTTTTTTCTCTAAGATCTGGCTCTGACACACCATTCTGCTAGGTGCCTGGCTAGAAGTTGACTTTCAGCTGGCTTTTGTGTAACTTTGACTTTCTCATCAGAACAGTAGCACTATTGCTTATGATAAAATGACAACATGAGCACCATGGTATTTTCTTCTCAAGCCTTCCTTGGCACACAGGAGTTTTAAAAGCCCTCTTAAAGCACAGGCTAGTCTTGTACCACAGCGGTACCTCGGAACTCGAACGGTTCTGTTCTCGAACATTTTGGCTCCCAAATGCCGAAAACCTGGAAGTGCTCTGGTTTTTTAACGTTCCTCAGAATACGAACATCTGCTGCGGCTTCCACTGTGCAAAAACCTAGCTGTTGGCCAATCGGAAGCCATGCCTTGGAACTCGAACGTTTCAGAAGACGAATGGTCTTCCGGAACGGATTATGTTCGAGTTCTGAGGTACAGCTGTATCTTGTAATGATGTAGCTGTCTATCCTAACTCTTTGCAAAAAATGTGGTTGACAACATTTAAATTCTAAGTATTTCCGCATTTATATTTTCTTTCAAGAATAATTTTTACGTACAACTAAAAAGGAAACTTCATTATGGCAACTCTACTTAGTATTTTGCCCCATCACAAGGTTATCTTGCTATGTTTTACATCAATGAAACAAAAGTAGCTTTCAGATTTTCAGCTTGCTGAATACGTAACTTCCAAAGAAAAGCATCAACATTTTTAGCCATCAGATACCACTCTACTTTTGCACCACAAAACATATCAGCAATACTCAAATGAAGGAGCCAACAGCTTGTCCCCAATGAGTCCCAATTCCTTCTAGAACTTGACCTTCACACCAGCTCACTGTAAAGCCTAAAGTTGCACTGATTCCCTGCCAGGAATGGCTTCCGTTCCTCTTTAGAACTCCCAATACTTTTAACAATAAGGAAGAGAGAATTATGGCAGGGCAGGTTTTCCATACTTGCAGTACTGTGACACCTCTACATCTCCTAAAATTCACGCCTTTGCACAACCCTTAAACGTACAGAAGGTCAAAGGTTGGCCTCACCTGTGGCCAAATATGCATGCCTGCAGCTCTCTGAACCAGCCTCTCCTGAAAGCTGCTACAGTAAGGCCGATAGAAATGGAAATTCAGTGAGGGGGATGCCAATACTAGTCCTCTCTAGTTGCTACACATAGAAGCAGTTGGTATACTTATATCAAATAAAGAGGGACAGACTCTGCACCCAGGGCTATAATGTAGGTAACAAGAATTGAGGGGAAAATATTGAGGGAAGACAGGTGGATGCCTGACGGTAAAGAGTTCTCATGGCAGAGTGGCAACATAGACTGGGTTTATGGAGGATGAATACGAGAGCAGAAAGGGGATAACAAGGGCCATGGAGAGGGAGAAGAGTTAACTTACTAAATAAGAGCAAGTGGATGGAAAGCCTTTGAAGGTCAAGAGAAGTTTAAACAGAATAGGACCAATCAGGAGGACATGACTAATACAATCATGGCACCAAAGAGAGAGGTTTCAGAGAAGGGGCAGGTGCATATTTATATACCCAACAACCAAACAAGATTGGTACCGTGATTGTTAGCTTTTTATCAGAATAAAAATCATTCCAGTGAGCGACTTTAATGCACAACGGATTTCCAAGTTAGAGAAGTCCGAAAATCAATAAGTCCTCCAATATTTTGCCAAATCTCTCTGAACAGACTTTAGAAAAGTCGAGTTCAGCTGAGTTTTGGTGGTGGTTGAACCCCAAATATAAGTCTACACCATTGATTTTAAGCCACACTTGAGGATTGATTGATTTTTTTTGGTATTCAAACATTGTAAAGCATTGTTATGTAGTATCAGAAAGCATATGGGACGCGGGTGGCTCTGTGGGTTAAAGCCTCAGTGCCTAGGACTTGCCGGCCGAAAGGTCGGCGGTTCGAATCCCCGCGGCGGGGTGCGCTCCTGTCGTTCGGTCCCAGCGCCTGCCAACCTAGCAGTTTGAAAGCACCTTCGGGTGCAAGTAGATAAATAGGGACCGCTTACCAGCGGGAAGGTAAACGGCGTTCCGTGTGCTGCGCTGGCTCGCCAGATGCAGCTTGTCACACTGGCCACGTGACCCGGAAGTATCTGCGGACAGCGCTGGCTCCCGGCCTATAGAGTGAGATGAGCGCACAACCCTAGAGTCTGGCAAGACTGGCCCGTACGGGCAGAGGTACCTTTACCTTTACCTATCAGAAAGCATATTGTTTATTACATATTGTTATGTAAAATGGGAATGAAGACTTTTTCAGATTGCTCATCACTTCTCATTAGTTACTCAATGGAAATAAAAAAGGAAGTAGAGGACCTGGAAACTGGGTGAATATTTGATAAGAAAGCAGATTGAGGATCATATCAAATGAAGTCATGTGTTGCATGTTTTTATAAGAGCCCGCTGGAGGAGGCCAATGACCCATCTAGTCCAGCATCCTGTTCTCACGGTAGTCAACCAAATGTCCGTAGGAAACCTGTAAGCACCAAAGCACTTTCCCTTCCTGTGGTTGCTAGCATGCTAGCAACTGGTAAAGTCTTCCCTTTAGCACAAGGATTTCTACCCACACAGCAGGACTTCATCCCCCTCTCTTCCACCCCTCCATATCTGCTCCAGAAGGTTAGAGGAATCCTCAGAACACTGGGGGATGGGGAGTCATCTAAATGCGCAGGTTGAAATCCTTGCACTTTACAAGATGAGTTTGCTGGATACAAACCACAGATCTCAAGAAGATCTGCAAGTGTGTTTTCATTTAAAATGGAAGTCCAGAGATTAAGAGGTCACTACTTGGTAGATGAAATGAAGAAGCTCTGAGGATAACTTGAGCTGCTTCCATTTTGGCTGGGGGTACTGCAAATGTATTTTTGCGTATCTCAAATTTAGTATTACTTCTGCTATTTTTTTAGGGCTTGGCTAATTTATCTCTATGCAGGGACGCGGGTGGTGCTGTGGGTAAAAGCCTCAGCACCTAGGGCTTGCCGATCGAAAGGTCGGCAGTTCGATTCCCCGCGGCGGGGTGCGCTCCCGTTGTTCGGTCCCAGCGCCTGCCAACCTAGCATTTCGAAAGCACCCCCGGGTGCAAGTAGATAAATAGGGACCGCTTACTAGCGGGAAGGTAAATGGCATTTCCGTGTGCGGCTCTGGCTCGCCAGAGCAGCGATGTCACACTGGCCACGTGACCCGGAAGTGTCTCCGGACAGCGCTGGCCCCCGGCCTCTTGAGTGAGATGGGCACACAACCCTAGAGTCTGTCAAGACTGGCCCGTACGGGCAGGGGTACCTTTACCTTTTTAATTTATCTCTATAGACTTTCAGCAGATGTTTTGAGCTTCTAGCTTATTATTTAATGTTCAACATGCTACTGAAGTGAAGTATTATTGAAACAGTTGTTTACATTTTGTATGTGGAAAAACAACATAGAAATCAAACCATGACTATGGGTGGCATTAAGGCCTTGTATTTGAGGGAGATGTCATTAAAAGAAGCTGAAGTTGCAATTTTACACACATTTACTTGGGCAGAAGCCTCATTGAACAAGTGGACAGAAAGTGTGGAAGGACATGCTAGATGTTACTTGGAGCTTTATTTTTAGTTTATCAAGAGACATGGGACTAATCAGTGGCTAATATAGGCTTATTAGCTGACTTTATGAACAGTGGTTTGATAAAGTATTGGGTTTAATTTTGCTTTAAAGGAAAGTATAGGTAGATAATATTTATTAAAGAAAACCTAAGGTAATCAATTATAAAGAAAAATGACTACAAAACACTTTATTTCTTAAGGGTGCTTATTTCTTATGTCTTCAGCATCTGAAAATGTGGAATAGAAGGGTTCCTTTTTATAAATAATTTAACAGACAGTATTAAAGTCTTCAGTGCAACAACATGCTGGTAGAAGTATGGCTAGAACAACAAGTCTTTGAGGAATGACTATTCAGTAAAAATAAAGGTTTACTATCTAGAATGCATGCAATAAAGCTATAATATTAAATTAGGAGACAGATGGACACAGTAATAATTTCAATAGAAACCTGGGGCTTAAAATTGCAAGGAGGACCAGGAAACTGTTTTTAGCCCAATATAATTGGTCTAAAGTGGAAGGGAACACTACTGATTTGAAATATAAAGACTATTTTAATTTTGTAAAAAGTGCTTGAATTGCAGAAAGAACCTGTAAGTTTTGACTGCAGGTGTCAATTGTATGAATAAAATATAAAAAATAACAAGTGAAGGAGAGATTTTGCTGTATCAAAAATGGTCAATTTTATTGACATTACAAAGGTAAGTGTCACAAATTTTAGAACTTGGTGAATGACCTGATTTGGACAATCACTTAAACAATTTTACCTTGCCCTCTACTGAACTCCAGTTTCAGAGTGAAGATCTTGTTAACAAACCA